GGCTGAAAATTTTAAAACCACCCCAAAAAATGTGAAAACCCACAAGAGAGCAAGGCTGAATCTCTTCGTGGAGGAAACGCAGGAATTTTCTTAACTAAAGGAGCTTCCAAATGCAGTCTTCTGTTTGTTTGTTTGTTTTCTGAGACAGCTGCCTTCCTGGTGTCATGGCTCCCATTTGGGCTAAATGAACAGCAATTCTGAGATGGTTTGTATTTTTAAATAATTTGTGTGTCTGTTGCTTAGGTCAATTTTACTCAGAAGCACAATTTGAGAATAATTCTGACGTCAATCAGAGAGCTGACGGAAGACTCCTAAGGGTGTCTGGATCTGAGCACAAAGTTACCAGGTAACAAATATGGGGCAAGGGTGGGTGATGTTCCTGCTTTGAGATGTGTTTTATCAGCAAATCCTGAGATCAAAATGAAAGGAAACTAAGGGAGTGTTGGTCTGTAAGAATACGCCTCTTTGGTTTAAACAATAGGAATTTGTACTTGAATTTCTTCCTAACAGCCTGAATTTGTTACTTGTTAAGGGATACTACAGGGCCCAAGGCTCCTACCTCATGGGGGGGTGAGGGTGGGGAATCATACCCTGGGGCTATGGTTTGCATAAAGAATGCCAAATAAAGTAAGGCTCTGCTGCCTCATTTACATGGGCAGAGGTTTCCTCAGCCAGATTTATTGTGAGGAAAAAAAATAATTCTATGCTTCAATTGCTTTTAGCAATTTTCTGTGATGCAGAAGAGATGCTGTTCTGCTCACTGTCCCTGTGCCTGTCCATCAGCAGCTCTGGGAGCAGAGAGCTGCCAGCTCTGCCCATGCTCGTTCCCTCTGACTCCTGGTACCATCTGCAAACACAAGGTCAGTTTGGGGGCTGCCCTTCAGTTATTTTATCACAATTTTTTCTTTTTTTAATTTTGTTTCAGGCAATACAAGAAAGATTACAGGCTTGAGTCAGCCAGTGATCCTGTTCCCTGCTGGTCAGTAGATGTAACTGCCTAGAAAAGAGAATTCTGGGAAAGAAAACTGTGCAAATGATGCTCCTCCAAGTATTTTTGATACTTTCTCTCATGAAGGAAACCACAGTTAAAGCCTTACCTGTTACTATAGATAAATGGCATAAATATTTTACCTCAAAAAATTATACTTTCAAGATGAGAACATGCTTGCTTGTTTGTTCTTTTAAAATGCTTTATAATAGTCTGGTTATGTTGTTGAAGATTTATATGGATGAACTAAATAAAATTGACATCATCAGCTCACAGTGTGGTACGGACACAGACTTAGGTCTCCAAATAAAACTAAGTAGTGGCATCACCCCATCCAACAAATCTGTCATGCCAACAGTAACAGATTTCTAAAATATGCCCTCTTTACCCAGTTACCAATGACAGTGTTCTGGGACTACGTCTTTTGTAAAAGGAGTATGAAGTTGAAAGCAACATTAGTATATCAAATTAATTCGGTGTCAAATAATGGACTATAAATAATGAACATGAAATTGTTAGAAAATGAAAGCCAGCTGGTCTTGAACATCTCAACTCCAAAAATCCCAATGGGACTGAAGTTGACATTGTTTCAAAGGCTTCGCAAATGGAGAGGCTGAAAATTTTAAAACCACCCCAAAAAATGTGAAAACCCACAAGAGAGCAAGGCTGAATCTCTTCGTGGAGGAAACGCAGGAATTTTCTTAACTAAAGGAGCTTCCAAATGCAGTCTTCTGTTTGTTTGTTTGTTTTCAGGGACTGGTTGCGAAACAGACCCCTGGCTTGTTGCAAAAAACAGCGTTTCAGCCCTGAAATTCAGCAGCTGCTTTTGGCACCGTTTCATACAATGTTCTGCAAACACTGGAAGATGTTTTGCAAATAATGAAGAGCTCAAAACAGCGTGTGGTGCACGGAGGTAGCATTTCAGAGGAATCATACACACACAAACGTCTGCCTTTGTAGTTTTAGTCCTCAGGTTTTTTTTCATAAATTTTAATTCCAAAATTATTTTGTGTTTTAGAATTCCAGTTCCTGTGTATCTTTGAACCCACATTTATGCCAGCTTTGTAAAAGGTTTAACAAAAGCTGCGTTCTAGCCTGCCAGTAATATATAACTGTAAAATCTGTATTATTTTAAAGCAATGTACTAAAAGAGAAGGGATCTCTTGCCAAAGTTGGTAAGATTAAGCAAACTATGTAATTAGAGGCCTGTTTTTTAGAAGAACTATGTAGACATGATGCCAAGATATGTTTGCATGAATTGCTTGTAATTCCAAAATGCAGATTTGGCTGGACAAATTATGTGACAGACAATGTGGAATTTGGAAACTGGAAAGAGCAGATTGCTTGCTTCCCCACATCATAAACAGGCTTACTAATTTGAAAAGTAGGAGATTATTTCCATTATAAGCGAACTTGGTATTTGATTTACATGCTGTTGATGCTGGGTTTTATCAGCAGACTTACTGCAAATTAAAAATTCCCTGCTTTCAGTTATAGGGTGCCTACGCGCTGCCGCCTCCACCTGCCGGCTACCTGCAGGGACAGCAGACAGCACTGAAACAGGGAGCAGCGAGGCACGGCTGGAGGGGCATCTTTCACCCGGTCCCCTCTGCGTCCCCTCTGCTTCAGGCGTGCACAGACCCTTCTCGAGAGCTGCTCTTCTAACCCACCTGCTAAAACCCACAGTGCTGGAGGTTCCCCAGATGTCCCAGGCAGCCTGTGGTCCTGTTAATGCAATTCCCCCTTCCTGCAAAGAAGCAGATCCTGCAAAGAAGAGGATCCTCCTTGATAGATAGGAAGAAAACAAGGTTTCAGCCTTCCTCACAGCAGCTTTTCACATAGCTGGGTTTTTTTTCCCCTGCTTCCCACAACTCTTCTCCAAAGCTATTCCTGTCCTCTGGACTGCATCGTTTCCCTGCGCTCTGCTGAGGTGCTGCGCCCAGAGCTGTGCAGGGACTTGCACCCGCAGCCGCCCCCGGCTGATGGAGCCTCTCCGGTCTTAGAAGAGGTTCTTGCTGGCTGCAACCACAGGGATGATTCTCTTTTCTGCAGCAGCCCCGTGTCGCTGGTGGGCCTGGCTACTGTGACTCCCGAATCCTTTCTGCAGGGCTTCTTCCCCTCTGCTCCTGTGCTTTCCATGCCGTAAGTGTGTTCCATTTCACTCTCCTTCGTTTGAATTGTGTCTTAATTTGTTGTCTAGTCACTCTGCTCCTCTCCTTTCCCAGCCCTGAAGTGAGTTTTGCTGGGCTTCTCATTTCCTACACTCCCTTCCCTTGCTTAAGAAGCTGAAGGCAGACACAGTAATGAATGTTTTGCTTTCTGTAGTGTCTAATTCCGATGAATCAGAATTAGATACATGTGAGTATCTCTCACACTATTCTCTTTTAACCAGCATTGTACCAGTTGGCAGTAAGAGTAAAATTTTTATCTAAATGTAAGCATCTGTCTGCTGCTTCTCTCTCCCCTTATTGTAACCTTCAGCTACATTTGCAGTTATCTCCCACCTTGCAGGAATCCTGGAAGAACTACAAGTTATAGGGTGCCTACGCGCTGCCGCCTCCACCTGCCGGCTACCTGCAGGGACAGCAGACAGCACTGAAGCAGGGAGCAGCGAGGCACGGCTGGAGGGGCATCTTTCACCCGGTCCCCTCTGCGTCCCCTCTGCTTCAGGCGTGCACAGACCCTTCTCGAGACCTGCTCTTCTAACCCACCTGCTAAAACCCACAGTGCTGGAGGTTCCCCAGATGTCCCAGGCAGCCTGTGGTCCTGTTAATGCAATTCCCCCTTCCTGCAAAGAAGCAGATCCTGCAAAGAAGAGGATCCTCCAAACCTTGATAGATGGGAAGAAAACAAGGTGTCAGCCGTCCTCACAGCAGCTTTTCACGTAGCTGGGTTTTTTTAACTCTGCTTCCCACAACTCCAATTCAGAACCATGTAAACTTAACCTTAATGGTTTCAATTTTCTGGTCTTCTCTCATTTCTTCCTGTTTCTCTCCTCGCCTTCCTCATTTTTCAGTAACTTACAACTTTCTGCAGAAACTGCCATTTTCTTTCATCCTTTTTGTCTGAGTTTAGCAGGCAGAGCTATCTAGCCTCTGTGACACTCCCCTTCCCCACAAGCAATTGCTTTTTTTTTTTTTTCTTCTGCTACAAAACTTCTACATTTACTAAAGGATTTTGTTCCTGGAGATGGCCTCTCTCCCCCATAAATTTATCAGTAAGTATATTTTTCCTCATTTTTTTTCCTCTTTAATTTTTCTGTTGCATTTTTGTTCATCTCTGCTTTTGTTCTTTCAGTTTGACCTATCACATCTTATGTCCTCTCTGTTTTTCTCACTACACTCCTCTTTCCTCATGTGTGTCTGCATTCTGTTTTCCCAGACAATGACTTTCTCTCCTTGTCATAGCAGTAGGGCAATGTTCTGCTTTGCCGCGTGAGACCACAATTGCCTTGCTATGGCTGATTTGATTAATAGAAAACTCAAAGGAAATAAGAAATCTGCTTATTGTTTTGCTTTAGGACAAATAGCTTACAATTTCTTCCAATACAAAATGGATATATAAATAAATGGGATGTTTCTTGCCCTAAAATATGTACCTAAATTCTGTTATGGGAACAGAGAGAGGAATTTTACTGGAGGACAGGCATGGCATTTCAGTAGAGGGTCTTGCACAAAAAAGATACTGTCCAAAAGACAGCTACTATTAATCAAACCTGAGTGCTGTTTGGAACTGTGGTATTTAATTAATTTATAAAGATTTGGGCATTCAAAAGTTAGGGTCAAAGCAAAATACTCGAATTGAGAAGTCCCGAGTGCTGAGACACTCGCACCAGCCCTCAGCCCTGCCCAGTGGTGAGGTGCCTGTAAGCACCACTGCCTTATCCCGGCCCGTGCGCCGGACCCTCCGCTGTCATTCCTCCAGTGCGGAATTTCAAAATGCAGCTGGTGTCCTGAGCTCTGTGAAACCAGAATGAAAGCACTGAGAGCTGTTGGAATGACAGAACAAGGCACTATGTACTGAGGCTTTTATTTAAATCACTCCTGACACTCAGATATTGATTTAAAATTGGACAGAATGTTTCTGTTATGTTTTACAAAGTAATGATTTAAGTCAGAATTTTAAAACTAGTAAATTAATTCAATAAAATGAGGGTATTTCAGGGGATGAATGGTGTCTGCACACAAAGGGAATAGCTGTTCAGCACTTAAGAGTTGATTAAAAACACAGTAAAACTCTCTGTGAGAATCAGTCATACCTTGGCATGACCAAACACGGTGAGCTTATGTATTTTTAATACTTTTTCAACATTGAAAAATACTGGGTTTTTTTCAGACAAATACTCTATACCCCTGAACTTGGAGGAAGCTGTAGTTATTTAAAACAGACTGGAAACAATATAGTCGGTATGAACGCCATCTAGCAGCCCAGCTCCATTGTAATGGACAAACCAGCAAGGAAGGTCGAGGCCGTGGGTGGGATCTGTTCTGTAATCCTTCTGCCAGCCCCTGCAAGGGAGAACACAGCCGTGGGTGCCTGGGAGCAGAAACAGCACTTGGACGAGGTAATCTTTCCCGAGTCTTTGCTAAGGACCTAATTACTTTTTTTTTTTTTACCTCGTTACTGTCAGTTCATTGTTTTTAACAATCATTGTGGCATCTGGTTTCTTGGGATCAGATCCAGGATGAATTTCAAGTATGGTGAAGTCAATGGGGTGGAAAAACTGTCCTAAAAATAGAAGCCAAAATTACCGTTTCAGGCATGTTGCACATACTAAAACAGAAACAAACCAAACAAACCCCAGAACATCTCCATTCCCATGCCGTTTGCCGTGTCCCCTCAGGGTTTTCAGTGGCTAAGCAAACACCAAGTTTCGTGTAAGGCTGAACATATGCCTCTGGTGTTATTTACTTGTTATAAACCAGAACTCTATGCAAATCATCTGGACCTAAGTTCCAGCTTCCCAGTACACAGTAAAATTAGATATCCTTCAGGATATCCTCACTTTGTGTCTTGTCTATTCAGATGTATTTATTACATATTCTGCAAGTCTTTAGCTCTTTTTTTTTTTTAAATCAAGTAACGCATGTGTTGATTATGCTCAGGACAAGGCTGACATCTAAGGCAATTAGATGTATCTGGGCTGGTACAAGATCCTGCTGGTGCTTTGAGTGCACTAATGAGCACAGATTTTACTTAGTGACGTTCAGAGGCAAAGCCAAAGATGATGAAAATAGCGAAGAGCTGTGTCAGTGAACTTTAACACAGTGCTATCCCCTGTCACGTGGGCTTTTGCCATTTTCTTGCTACTTGCAATTCATACCATAGCAGAATAACTTCTGCGTGGAGAAGTTCTTTAGCCTGAGGAGACTGGAGCAGGAAAGCATAAATAACATTCCTTCCTTATTCTGCTCTTTTTCTGTTTTGTTACAGCATTTCCCATGATGCATGGATCTAACCTGTGCTCCCGCTGACACCTTGGCTCGCTCTGCTCAGGCGACAAAGTGCACACTAAGGCTGAGAAGAGCAAGTTTGCAGCAGTTCATAGTTCTCCACGGTGAGTAAACTTACTGACACAACAGCAATGTTTGCTGCCCTTATCTGATTTTGTAAGTGAAAATTGGAAGTCAAGGGAAAATGGTTGCTATCTGTGTATTTTCCAACAAACCCACTACACTGGCAGAAAACAGCATTCAATGGGGTCAAAATTCTGATCCCTGAATTACCAACTTTGCCTTCTACTAGAATAAAGACTGTTGGCTAACGTGAGGAAAACCTTAGACGATACAAGGCATTCTGTGATTTTTACATATGCTGGTAAATCAAAATATACCTCAAAAGCTTCTTTTTGTACAAGGATGCTCCAACTGAGGTTTGGCAAATTTTGACTGAGCAAACCCAAATGTTTTCTCAGAGTGCTTGTACATAGGAGAAAGGTGACAGATGAAAGGAGAGATCAAACCACCCAAGAGGATGGAGGAATAGTGTAGTAAGAAAAAAAAAAAATCTGTAGGTGGGATTTAGTGAGATAAAGGGCTTTAAAGATGCCAGGGAGGACAAGGGATGCCAGTGATTTCAGCAGCAGCAGAGGAATTTAAGATAATGCACACATCTGAGCCCAGAGTATTTTGTCAGAAATCTTAATATGGCCAATCAACAGCCTCTCAGTTTCTTCCACCATCTCTGTTCAAAAGGTTTAGTACAAGATTCTGTCTACAAATTATGTAGCCTCGCAAGGAAAGACGAGCACGAAAACACTAAATGAAATCATACCTAATAATCCATGGGTCTGTTCAGACAGTTTATCACTTTCCAATGTATACAGTCCTAGGAAATCTTGGTGGAGAGGATGTTTCTTCCATACTTGATGCAAAACAATAACAAATGAGGCACCGCTGCCCATTTTGAGCACTAGGTTCTTTTTCCTATTAATTATCAAAGTTAAACTGAGGAAAAAAGAAAAACTTGAGTTAGGGCATTGCACTTCCCAGAGTTAACAGCAATGAGAAGAAGGTTGTTCAACGAACAACCATGGCTTTATAAATTGCTCAGTGTTTTTTAAACTAAGGTTTTGCTGCATAGTTTGGTCCATGTGAATCTCTGTGTGTTCACAGATGGTCCAAGACTCACACTAAATTATGCTGTAAAAGGCTGCCTGGTCTTTAAACTTTTCAGCAAGATGTTTCTACCAAAACTCATCCTCCAACAATGCAATTAATCACAGATAGGTTAGTGATGTGTAGGTACAGCACCTCATGCTCAGTGATAAAAACATTACTGATAAAACCAACACTTCCTTGCCCAGATGCTACCTGACAGTTCTGCCTTTTGTTTTTCGGAAAAGGCAACTCCCAAACTGTCTCGGTTAGTGCTGGGATAAAGATTTGCCTCTGATGGTGTGAGTGATATCATCAATGTGACTGTCATAGTAAAAAAACAAGTATGCTCTAAGAGTAAGAGTTTTGCTCCAGTGCTCTGTCTGTTACAGTGCCTTGTTTTGAGAAGGCAGTGGTTTTGGTCCAGGTACACAATGAAAATGCAAATGAGGAGGAGATGCTGCCTGTTCCTTTTGCACAGGTAGAAATGATTCTGTCATAGATAAATCTCATGAAAAATATACCTGCTGACTGGGCAAAATGTACCTGTGCTATAGATATCACAATTTCCATTTCTTAAAATGGAGATTGTTTACAGCACGTTATTGTGTCTGTTTGAAAGTTTAGATGTTATGTCTAAAGTTACTCTTTAAGTATTTGCAAGACACTGTTGCCTTAAGCACAACACCAAATCTAGTTTTACCTTAGTCATAGTAATAGAAAATCAGGGAAAATTCTTCACTCATTTACTCCAAGCAGAGGCATTTATGAATACTCATTCAGCAGTTACACAACAAAGCAGAGAGCAGAATCCATCAGGACTTGAATCAGTTTCTTATATATATTCAGACAACCTATCTTAAAATTATATTATTTTATCAACACTAAACAAAGTGTAGAAACTAATAAAGGAGCCCGGTGTTCCTTCTGTAAGCCTTACCCTTCTTGTTGCAAGGTGACTGAGTCCAGCCAGGTGAAACCTGTTTGTTCATTGCCATTCTGAAGTGTGATCTTCTCAGGAGTTACTGTCAGTTTTAAATCCAGGTGCTTATTTGCAATGCCAAGTTTTCCAAAATATGTATTTTGGATCTTTGCATCGTTATTTACAATCTTATCACCAATGAGTTCTCCATTGATTGTGATGCCTAATATAAAAGGAAACATCAAGTTTTGGTTTATAGATAGGACGTAATCAACTGATGTCAAGGAGCATAATGGAAATTTAACAACTCAAGGAAACAAAGAAGAGTTGAAAAACAGATCAGAATTGCTTGTGTCTGTTTATGCCAAAGTACAATAAAGCTCTGGGGACTGCTGTGTGGATTTCCACAAAGACAACAATCACTTTATAGAGAAAAGTTAAATATTTCCTGGAGCACAAAGAGTCTGTGGTGGGCACAAAAGGCTGTGTGCCATCGGTCTCTCTTTACCAGGCATTCCATGCCATACCTGGCAACCCAAGGATTATTTCATTGCTTGTACTACTACTCACTGAGACAAGTTATGGATCTCAGCTCTCCATGGTGGCTTTCAAACAAAGTTTAAAAGTTCATTTTGCTCTAAGAAGTGAAAACACAGCCATGGGAGGAGTACCCTATCACAACTACAGTAACTCCTACTAACTTTACTGGGAAAAAAGCTTACACAGTATAAAAGAGAGAAATAGCCTTTAAACATAAGACATTTTGCTACAAATATCCTGATTTACTTTATTTTAAAAAATTAAGAACTCACCTGTAACTGGGTCTTTAATTAAATTCAACACAGCACCTGGGTTTTCATTGATATTGAAACAAATGGCATCATCTTTCTGTGGCACCGATATAATGAAGTGTGGATCTCCATCAACTGTAAAGGCAAATCAGTGGTATTTGCATAGTGATACACAGGTTCAGTGTCCTGCATGACCACGTAACGTTGTGGCAATGGAATTGCTGATGCTGGGGACCAGCAGGAACTGGTTCCTGCACAAAATGTATGCCCAGCTTAGTCCAGCCCATCCTCCAAAGGAGTGGTGGGGTCTCAGGGATGCTGCTGCCATCTCCCCAAAGTGAATGACGTCCTTTTTCCCCTCATCTTTCCCAAGTACATGATACATATCCTTTGTCTCTTGACCACTGCAAAATTTGGCACATGGATTGGAGGTTCAGGAGGGCCATGGAAGTATTACTGAGGGCAGGAAGGCCACTTGAATAGAGACTAGTAAGTTATCAACACGAAGTCTCGCAACGGGGAGGACTGAGAACATGGCCATAAATAATCTCAGTGACTTGATCTTTAAAAAACATTTAGAGATGTATAAATTAAAATACTAGCCCCTTGGAAATGAAAAATGGCTGCTTTTGTGGGAAGGAATTACCTAAAAGGCTCATAAGAATTGTGCATTTTAGTCTTAAATACCCTCTCTTCTGTTCTTCTTCTAAGCAGACACTACTCAAAGTACTCACCGCTAGTGTACCATGTGGGGTGTGCGTTATATAGGTAAGAGACTTGTGGAGCTGTAGAGTGTAAATTTAAAAAAAAAAAAAGTTAGGAAAAACTCCCATCAAAGCAGAATATTTACACACTATCTGCCCAGTACATGTAAAATGTCAGGAAGTTAATATGCTGGGTAAATTGCTAATTCCGTCCTAGTTTTTAAGGCATACAGTCCATGGAATGACAGTTTGTGCCCCTTTTGAATCAAGCAAAGCTTCACGATTGAGATAGCTTTCACTTGTCATCTAAATTCCTTTGAGGGTTTCCACAAGCCCAAGTAACGTATCTGTAGGACACAAATGTCTCAGACTTAAGGATTAAGCTATCAGCAAGTGAACACAACATCATCCGTTGACAGCCTTTGAGGTTTTGACATTTGTTTTCTTCCAGAATGAAGCTAAGTCTTTTCAATGAAGACTTGAGAAAACTTGACAGAGATTGAGAAAGGGAACTGAGACTCATCTCCAGAGCAAAAACTTAAATCTAACTCTGCCATTTTTGGGATTGCCCAGCAATCTGGAGGGTCAGTTGCTGTCTCTCTCTTGAATAAAGTATAAGTAAGTAACTGAGCATATTAATTTAGCCTGAGATGCTGACATCATAGTCCCTGGCTTTGTAAAGTTCCAAAGGAGATGCAAATGCAAGTCTATTCTCTGCTCTTGGGAAACAGCTTTCAGGAAAAAATGGTGGTTTGATGAACTGGCATTTACTCCTTAAGAGCTATTTAGCTCAAACTTTTCCATCTGGTATTGTTCAACCTTTAAGTGTGTTTTTAGCAGCGAGCAACATTTTAGCAGTGAGCAGAATTTGGTAGTATTTGTTAAAATTCAGTTGTAAACCCAGAAAAGGCAGTTTCTATCGCTCCAGTAATTTCAGTTGTCTGAACCTATTTCCTTTGACAGATGCTGCTTCATTCAGAAACTTAAGCTAATGACTTACCCGGCATAACAGCTGTGCCAGCCTGTGCTGTGAATGAAACAAAATGTTATTTTAGAGGCTAGAAAGAATGAAAAACAATCTCTCCCACTTCTTTCCACCAAAACCAACTCCAAAATCTTGTAATTATGTGTAAATTTCTAAATGTTTAAAGAAAAACTCAGTCAAAGGAGTTAATTTAGTACTGCAACACAGCAAATGTCATGAGCAGGCAGAAAGCACTCCCTACTTTTTAGTAAAAACATTACTTCTCCACAGGCAGGTGGTTTGCTCTGTAAGGGGCTGGGACAACCTGTTCTCCGACTTCTCTGCGCTGTCATGTTGTAAACTGTGCTACTGGGAACTCAGTAAGATTTACTCACCTGCTTCCTTCCACCTTTTCCTAGTCTTCTACTCTTTCTACATCTGAAGCTATGGAGCTATGGTGTCTGAAGAAGTGGCAGTCACAGCACGAGTGAAGCCATCTCTGCATGAGAGACTCTGCTACACACAGGTACCTGGGAGCAAACACTAACCCCGCAAAGCAGCTGACTCCTACTAGGTCTGAATTTGGTGATGGTGGGATGCTGCAATTATCAGAGATAGGAGGAACCACACTGAAAATGGTATTTCCAATTTTTTTCCAGCTGAAAAGTTTTTAATCTGGTTATAACACAGTCTTGATTTGTTCACCAAGAATTTTGTGAAACTGTTGCATCCTAGATCAAGTAAGTGATGCAGGAAATCTATCTCTAACGGTTAAAAATATTAAGTAAATTTAATAAGAAATGTACATACCTTCAGCTGTCACCACGGGCAGGTAAGAAGTAAAAGGAAGAAAAAGAGAAATTCACAGTTTCAGTTGTATGGTTAAACAGAAAGGATTCTCTCCCTGTTAAAACACATTCTAAGAAAACGAATTAAAAACTGTTTGACAATTCAACCAGGTATCTTCAGTATTTTACAATTCCATTTTTTCCCAGTGATGCAACTCAGTATTTGTAGATCAAACAGAAACATGCTAAAAGTAAAAAGCTGTTATGTGGGGCAGCAAAACTGCAATTAATTATGCATATGACAAGAGAACTGTCAGTAATTGTTTTATTGTTATTCTGTTTTCACGTTGCCAAATGTTCCTTATTGGTTTTACTCCCTTGCAGTTTTCAAGGCATTTGCATCGTTCTGTTAACACTGACTGGATGGTTCAGGAATCCTATTTGTGAATCCAGATTCTAGGGTGTGTACAAATTATGTTCTTACAGAGCAGCAGTGTTTTGAGTATTTTCTGCTATTACAGCTCTATACTTTCTATATACAAAGAGGATTTACTTGGAAAGAGGTTCAGAAAAGGGCCTTTGTACTACAAGTACCTGGAAAGGGAAAGCAAAGAGCTGAAGATCACTCTGAGTGGATGCTACTTCTGTCAGATGTTTACGTAAGTTTTTCCAGCTTATGGAGTCCAGCTGTAAACTTTAAAGTCATCGTGCTGAATAGTGACTTGAATGTTAAATTAAGAATGAAGTGGTTTTATGTCAGTGTCATTATGACGGTTACAAAAAACAATGCAAAAATTTTATCAGCAGAATACCTGAAGAATTATTCAGAATTGAAGGCACTTAGCAATTAATTAGTCCTGTTGAAGGAAAAAGCCACTAACCTCCAGTAAGCATCTCTGTTATGCTCAAATGTCTTAAGTTACTGTGCCAAATTCAGGAGATAAAGTTTTTCATCTAGAAGCCAGCAGAGAGCCCGCACAGAGCCTGGGAGGAACTTTTAGGGACACTAAGCAAAAGTTTGGGGAAAAAATAATGAATGCTTATAGAAGAGATTGAAAAGCCCTACAGGAGGTTTGTCAGACCTGTTGAAGGAGGGAGAGATGAGGATGGCCTGAGCAACACAGACAGATGAGGATAGGGTGGCTTTGGGGTACATGGGTGGGTAGCATTTGCCTTATTTTGCTGAAGAGGTTTCACACAAGTTGAACAAAGAGGCTGAACTGTACCAAAGCACAGTGTTTTACTGAGCAAGGAGTTAATAATTAGCCCAAGTATCAGAGGAGTTGAGAACAAATTTTGTGCTCTCAATGTAACTGCTTCTCTTTCTGCAATATATTTGAATACTGTGTTTTACAGAGTATGCAGGTTATATCCTGCATAAGGAAGATCTCTTACTTTTCCCCTTTCATGTAGAAATGTGTCACTATATCTACTCCTAAGCTGAAGAATGTAGAAAAATAAAAGAGAAAGTGATGTGAACTAAACTGAATCTAGCTGGATTACTAAATCAGAAATGCTTGTTGGGTTTGGGTTTGTTGGGTTTTTTTATGTAATAGTTTATATATTCAGCTTAAAATACATTTATTTTGAATTTACAGTATTTTGCCTGTATGATTTAGTAATGAAGGATGGTTTGATGGAAATGAGCTTTACAATGGAAAAGTAATTTTGCATAAACCGTACACAAGGTTTGGAAAGTAGATTTTTCAGATACATGTTTAAACTTGTGCCCACACAAAACCCTTCCTTTAGGGGAAAATCAAAGGAAAACTTGGCTTCTCAAATAAAGTAAAATTGTGAAAATGTCCATACCTTCAATGGGTTTATCAGCAATTCCATCTTGATTGTCATTTTCTTCTGGCTTTGTTACCACCATGGATGTCAGTGGTGTTACAAACTTGTATTTTAGTGAGAGATCCAGGGCCTCGGCTGTAAGATTCTCCTTTTCTTCTCCAGTAGCTGCAATACTGAATACAGGTAGAGACTTCCTGGCATCACTGATTGCTAAATTACTCACTGAGCTCTGGATTAAATATTTTTCTCTAAAATGAAGTCATTTCTCTGCAGCTAATTTACCAATAAGGAATATTTGTTACAGTCTAAGAGCACTTCTGAGTCCACTGGCTATCTAAGAAAAAGGCAAAACTGTGCTTTATATTTGCAATAATTTAAAGTTGTTTAATTTGCAACCTGAAATGGGAATTCTGAGGTTGGGGAGGAGAATATGTTGGGGGATTTTCCTTACTGTTTTTTACGCTTTCCCATTGACATTTCAGTGTGATGTGAATTTGAGCTTCACATCCTAGAAGTTGCACCAGTCAAATGGCTTAACGGGTTCATAGCAAAGATGTTATTCTAGATATAATTACCGTTTTTCCAGGAGTTGTTCAATGGTGAAATAAGCCCAGAGCCTTTCAATGTACTCTCCAAATATGTATTCTTTTTCTTGGAAAGCTTTAGCTGTTTGCTCAGCATCTTGTTTGGTAGTATATGACAGGGCATCGTTTGCCTGTTAGGAGTAAGGAAACTGCTCTGCATCATAAGTAGCCAGGGAATTCCAGAACCTCCCAAAATCAAGTCCTTCACATCTGAAAATCTTACTAAATTGAAAAAGAGTCTGGTCCTACACAGCACTTGCCCAGGAAATTGTCAGTGTTGTATCAGGATCTTTGTTCCATTGCTTCTGTGAAGGTTCATAGTGTATGCTATAGGATATCCTGCAGTTTCCAAATTCACCTGGCATTTTTGTTCATTAGAGTTTGGGTACTCAGGATTTAAAGAACATTGATGCCAATTTTCATTCAGGAACCTTTTCAAGCAGATATGCTGGCTAACTGACTAATGACACATTATTTGTATTTGAAATATACCTAATTTCATATAGTATATTTAATAATAGTAATATTTAGTGCATGGTGTATATATGGTGCATTTAGTTTCTCACACACGCAGTAACACATCCTGTCACTGAGGTAAAGAAAGACCAGTAAATATTTTACATATTGCCAGCTTTGAACATGCAGACATTTTGTGTATCTTATTTAAGTCAAAGAAATCCATACTTACACCTTCACCTCTCACATCTACAGTCAAACTGTTCTGGTTGTAGTCTATAAAGCGCCCAGCCACCACAATCTCAGACCCATCATAGAAATGCTTAAAACTGTTTTTAGTTAGGTCTGATATTTCATTTTCTGGGTAATTTAATTCCACATCCGTGAGCATGGGATTTGACACCTCATCATAAAACCCCTACAGGACAGGGAAAAAAAAACCAAAAAAACCACATTAAACTAACATTGTTTCTTTAATTCGTAGGTGGACCTGGACCTACACCCAGAAATATCCTGCCATTTCAGCAATGAAAACTAAAAGCGTATTCTAGAATAAACATTTAAATATTCAGTTAAATCTCAGAGTACAAATCTATAAATAATGGAAATGAGAAAGGGCATACTTCATTCTCACGGAAAGAAAGGAAAAATACCTGAGAACATGCTGTGGATGATGAGTTCCATCAATGTTAATCAAGAGGGACCCCAAGCTCCCCTCCATTTGATAGAACTGACAACATAAGCCAAAGGAGACTAGGTATTTGATTTTGGCAGAGCTTGCAATGAAATCCAGTACCTAAATTCTTTGGTGAGTTTTTTGAATGGCTGCTATTGGAATGGGAGAACTAAAAAAGATCAACTCTGTATTGCCTGTCATCTAGAGCCTTTATGCTCTGTCAGCCTTTTTTTCCCTTGACATGACATTAGCTACATGATCTGTGAGATGTGGGAGATACAATTGCAGTAGTTTTGCTGCACACAGAAGTGTCCTTCAGAACCGTGACTTGTGTCACCCTATGACAAGTTTTGAACCCTCTTCCATACTCCACACTATCTCCCTTTTACTCTCCTTCCACTTTCTGCTTATATAAGGGAAGGGGAAAATTAAATGCAGTTGATACTCTGATTACAGCAGACTCTTGAGTATCTCAGTACCAGATTACTACTTCAAAACAGGAATGTCTGTATGGTTATATGAATTAATGCGTATCTCACCTAATTTAAGTGGTGATTACGGTACCTGAAGCTGTAAAGCTGCATCAGAGTCAGGATAAATCCGACGGGCCAATCCTTTATTCTCCAGTGCCATCTTCTCCAAGAAGCTGTAGTCAACGCCATAGCCAAAACCAAGATTGTATAAGGGATATTTTCCTTCTATGGCTTTTTTTACATGTGCCTGAATGTCCTCAGTATTTGATACGCCTGCATCAAACCAGAAAAGATTTGAGTTTTCTTCATATATATATAAAATTACCACAAAATGAAATGTGGCTGGTCATGTTCAGATCTCTTAGGAGGCATTATCAAAAACTTGTTTTAATAGTATGGTGCTGTCATAGTAACACTTAAATAATGAAAACATCTGGAAGTCAAAGATGGAGGCCAATTTTAACTGAGCGGTTTTTTAGTAGCTAATTCACTCTTATTATTCCATCCAACGCAAACTCACCTACGTTTGGTTGGCCATCTGTTAACGTGATAATTATAGAAGCGCTTCTCTTGGGCACAAGGTTTCCTTCGTGAGCAGCATTCAGCATATCAATTCCCCTCATTATACCACCGTGTAAATTCGTCACTGCAAGGCAGGCATAGAAATTAGGTTCCAGCACAGACAGTCAAAGTAAAGGGCCATTTTTTCCTCTGCAATCTGATGAGATCTCATAAAATATGAAAATGAAAGATTTGGGTTTGCAAGCAGGGGGATGCTTAGACAGAAAAGTACTTGGACTTCAAAAACATAAGGAAAAGTAGATGTCACGTTCTCAGTAAATCTAAACTTTAGGAGTGTCTCATCAGTAATAAAATAAATTTTAAAAAAAGCTGTAGCATTGTGTTCACAGACTGAATTGATAAATTAACTTAAGCAATGACCTATTGGCAAGTCCAGTAAAGTACTTACTGCCTTCAGTGTCAATGCCCTGAACAAACTTCCTTGCTTCATCCAAATTCTCAGGAGTGGCCTTGATTAATGTTTCTCTCCAGGTATGTACTTCACTACCAAACAGTATGAAATTGAAGAAGTCATCTTCTTTGATGTCATCTAAGATTTTTAGAAGTGCTTCTCTTGTCTATAAGACAAAGAGATTTAAATGTATGGTTCAACATTCACCAAAATAGGTGCTTACAAATTTCACGAGTCATCTCTCAGCATTTGGGTATTTTTAACTTTTACACAGTGTGTATTTCAGAGTAACTCCAGTGAAGTCAGCCAGTTGCAATCACATCTGGTAAATCCTTGCAGCCAAGAGGAAAGTCAGGTCTCCATCATGGACCGTTGCTGACACTGCGGGAAGCTGGGACCGCAAGGTGAGAGCGATGGGAAACGGGTGGCTCTAGGTTGGTGGAGAAGCTCATATGCAAGCAAGCACAGATATTTTGATGCAGCACCAAAACCTGAAAATTCTGAGCATTAGCTCAGAATGAGGAGTCCTCACTATAAGAAGAGCTGCTGCTTCCCAGGGGATACAGAATGAACAATATAGAGAATGCACAAAGTGCTGCATGAACATTTTAATTTTGGAACTGTCCAGTGCACATGACAGAGCTCTCAGGAAATGTTGATATTAAGAGTTTTGAACTAGTAACGTTTACATGTTGAAGAGGGTACAGCAGAGGGCTACAAAGATGATGAGGGGCCTGGAACATCTCTCTTCTGAGGAAAGGCTGAGGGACTTGGGTCTTTTTAGTCTGGAGAAGAGAAGGCTGAGGGGGGATCTGATCAACGCCTATAAATACTTAAAGGATGGGTGTCAAGAGGACAGGGCCAGTCTTTTTTCAGTGGTGCCCAATAATAGAACAAGAGGAAATGGGCACAAACTTGTACATAAGAAGTTCCATCTAAAGACGAGGAGGAACTTTTTCACTTTGAGGGTGGCAGAGCCCTGGAACAGGCTGTCCAGAGAGGTGGTGGAGTCTCTGTCTCTGGAGACATTCAAAACCCACCTGGACACATTGCTTTGCAATCTCCTTTAGGAGGCCCTGCTTTGGCAGGGGGTTGGACTAGATGATCTCCAGAGGTCCCTTCCAACCATGTATCATTCTGTGATAAGCAAGTAAATATAACCTAAATGTATAGAATTTTGTTCTACAGTAAAACTTCAAACCAGTACTTATGGTACCGAGCATTAGAGAGGTCACAGGATAAAACCACTTGGTATAGCTTAAGCAGCACATATGCACTATAAGCCACCACGTCCCTTCCATCACAACAGAGGCTTTTCTGTTTGGACTTTATAGTAATGTCATAACTCACCTGCACTATTTCTCTTCCAGCCATTGAGCCACTAATATCTATTACAAAAATAACATTCTTGGGCAACTTTGGAAGATTTGTTGGTGCAAAGAAGTGTACAAAGTAGCCATTGACAATCTGAAAAATAAAATTTAAACAAACAAACCAAAAAACCCACAAAAATTTTGTATATTATAAAGATAGAATGGATAAAGACAAAATTACTTCCATTTAGTGTCTAGCTTGTAAGTGGATTAATAGGTTTTAATGGCCCTGACCAGTCTCACCTCTCTCCATCAGCCCAGGAG